AACATAATCTTGCCACTGTGGTACATGCTACTTATGCTTAGAGATATAAGTAGTGTGTAGCAGTATTCGGCAGTAGAATGTCTGTCGGCAGAAGATTGAACTGAAGACAACTCGAAAGGAAATGGAGAGCGATTTTACTGACGACAGAATTGGAAGAGTTATGAGGCACGTATATGAAAACTGAGGGAAGATATGCGAGTGATGTATTTAATGTTTGGTTTTCGTATTTTGTGAAGTCGCTCTGTCATTTTGCATAAACCAACAAAAAATTAGTTATTCTCACAGATTTTTCGTTCGTAGCACCACAGTTTAGAAACTACTACAAAATATTTCATAATAGTATATAAATTTTAATGGCAAATATTTTAATTAAATTCTAGAGACATTTCGAAACAGTAGCTGACGGTTAGGCACAACGATTATCCATTAGATCTATTTATTCAACTTTTACGTTATATAATGCATAAGCTAGACATAAGGTATTTGTTAGAATTTTTGTATTTCTCTTTTTGTGGACAATTGATTGATCACTGGGTGGTGGTGATCAATGTCATGCTTGTCTAGTCCTTATTAGTGCAGATCGAATGCTATCGATCATGTTGCAATGTGGCCACCAGTCTAGGTGACTCGACACTGTGGGCACTTTGTATTGAGATTTAGATGGTGGTTGGAGGTAGTGAACGGGAAACCGTGGACACGGGTTTCGTGCTACTTGGCACTCGTCAGCAAGGTGTACCTGTAATGTTGAGGGAACTGGTGCTCCCTGGCAGATTCGATCTCGTGTCACCCAGCTTCACAGTCAGAGACGTTACCACTGAGCTATCTCAGTCTTACAGGAGGTTAGTCACGGCTCGGATAGCTCAGTGGTAACGTCTCTGACTGTGAAGCTGGGTGACACGAGATCGAATCCGCCAGGGAGCACCAGTTCCCTCAAGATTACAGGTACACCTTGCTGACGAGTGCCAAGTAGCACGAAACCCGGGTCCAGGGTTTTCTGTTGACTACCTCCAACCACCATCTAAATCTCAAATGTTCTATGTATTTGACATTCATTTTACTGGGTGAAGGGAAAGTTGTAAGGAAATTAAGATAATTGCTTAGGATTAGAACGCATTAGTAAATTAAAGGATTTTTAAAGAGGATACGTTATCACTAATTATTTGCTTGAATATAACATGGCCATTAATGCTATTTTACAACTGTTACTGCCGTATTAATTGCAGTCATTTATGGTGATCAATGGCATACTGAATTTACTAACAAATACAATTTTGTGATCCGATTCATTAAATCAACTTTTTGTAGATTAAATATATTGGTTAATGTATATACGACTCCTGTCTAGTTAGTTTATACACTTACCTATGAAGGTTTTTTTAATGAAAATCTGGAAAAGCTTTCAGGGAATTTATGAAATGTAAACAATTCATTTGAAAATAATTCTTTTCAAACTTATTAAGTGTCGTGATGGGGACCATAAAAACCTCAAGAATAAAGCGAGGCAAATAAAACTGTTGACTTTGACTTTTCATATTTTATCATTTCTTATAATTCTCAACAAACAATTCACTGTGTACACAACTTCTGATCGGCAATATCATCTAGGAATATGATTTATGTATATGATTCTGGGAGACTATGAAACAGCAAAGCAGTTATACAACATGATTTCTAAAGGCTTCCAATGATGCTTTTTAACAATGGCAACGAAAACACAAAAACTTTTTAATCGAATTCAAAGAGTATCACAAAAAGTTTCAGATTGATATATTGTGAAATAATTATTTTATAACTTAACTTCGTGTTCTTATTGAATAGAATAGTTCACTACAAATAATTTTAGATTCTTTTATTTATTTATTTGAACACAGAAATACTGGTACAAGGGGGCACCAGATACATATGCGTCACACAAATCAAATGAGATTTGTGTGAGGGCTATGATACTGCTCGGGTGCCTAAACCGAAGCCGGTGGTTTTTCTAGGAGGCCACACCCGGAGCCTTCGACCTAAAGGTCTGATCCACAAGGCAGTGGAGCATCGTGAGGAGATGCAGTCCCATGGTAGCCGGTGACCAACGATTGGTCATTGGCCATTTGTTCCTTTAGGATAGTGGAGCTCGTGTGCACCATTGTTTTGGGATCAGGGTTTTCCAACTTCCCTAGATGGACTCTCAGTATCCACCAACCCGGTTAAAACGCCAGACATCCTCTTTTCGTCTTCTCAGTTTCGTGAACAACACACCCGCCACGAGAAGGCAATGAATAGGACTTCCCTAGCAGAGGCTATATACGCGTGGTCATATGACAGCATTTCGAGAAGGAAAGAGGTCGAACCGATCAGATTTACAATAACAGGTCTGCGATTTTGGTGCGAAATTCATTCACCTATTTGGCTATATAGAGTTTTGGCATTACATCTGAAGTCAGTTCATGATGAAAACCCTAAATCTAATTCCTAACCTTAACCATCAACTGTAAATCATAATCCTTATTCTTCAAACTGCTTTATAACCCTTATTTAGCCCTAGCAAGTAGGTGAACATTTTCAAGGTTAGTCTAGAGTCGCTTAAAGGTCACCCATAAATTATAGTCTCATCGTTTGTATTTTATACAATTTCATATTTCTATTGTAATTCTTTTGACAAATCAATTTCTTTTTACCAGAAATCTTTTTTCTTCTAAATACATGTTATTACATGAAAATAATCTATTTTGATAAATATAGAAGTAAACATAAATATAAAGTAAAAGAAGTTAGTCTTTCATTATTAAGATTATAATTCTTCAAATAAATATTCTCATAAATGTATATTTTGTATGTGTAAAATTATTATTTACATTGTAGCTCTTTCTTTTTTTTCCAAAAAAAACAATCTGATTGATTTTAATCGAAGCAATTCACTATAATATTGATTCTATGAATGAACATGTACTTATAAACATTGGGTACTGAAAATAAAAAAAAGAAAACAACATAAGAATCAGTCTTTATTTTTTCATGGTTTCCTTATTATTTATGAAATGAAATAATTAAGTTGAGATTTTAATGATTGAATATTAGAATAAATGATGAGTTCTATTATCATCTGTACATCAGGATACTTTATTGGATACTTATGAAGAACATTGTGAAACAGAGATTATCAATTATGATTTATCGGTTCATAAAGTTATTCTTTGTTAAATCATATTATTCACTACGATCTACTTCTTATGTTACGTTTACTTTATTCTAGTTCAAATGATTATTCTCTACCAATTATACTCTTTTGTTTTTCTAAAGTACTATGGTAGCGTAATTGATGTACTTATATAACATTTGTTAAATAACTGGTTGGTTGTGAATAATTTCATATTAATTCTTTTCACTTTTTCGTATTAAAAAGGGTTTAAAACTATGGGTTATCATCTCAATAAACATAATAAAGATAAAATTCCATTTAATAGTGGCTAATAAGGGGGAATTGGAATGTCACATTTTCCTAATGAAAACTAATTTTAGATTAAAATAATCTATTCCACTTAAATATCTCTTGTTCAATGGATATCAAGTAGCTGGTTACTGATTTTGGTAAAAAAAAAATTTGGTGACTCGACTGACCACTATAGGCTTTGTTTCTCAATTTACAAGTTTCTTTCTTATGATACCATATAATGATTATAATAATGTTTATTAGTCGTCCCTCTATTTTATGAAACTTCATTACTGAAACTTCAGTGGTCATTTTTTGCAATGATTTGCATTAAAATGCGATGTGATCTTTACTTTACCCCCTACATTCGTTTGTTCAGATATAATTTCAGTATTTTCTTAATAATAAACTCAGAATAAGAATTATCACATTCACTTCTTACATGTGTGCAAGTTCTCAAGGAATGATGACTTTTCAAAACCTTATGATTAATAACTTGTTACTAAAGATAACTTGCTCATTTTAAAATAATCTCTAGGATGATTCAGTTCTGATTTATGTAAGTATCTACATAGTCTAAACAAACATAAATAACACCAGATCAATATTTAATTAATTCGTTTCATAATATAAATGAATATGACACTAATTTTCAAATATTTTTATTTTCCAAACTACAGAAACTAAATCATTTTAAAAGTTGAAAACTCATAACCACATAATATATCATATTAGATAAATTATTAATAAAGCACACAAATAAATCTTATTATAGTTGAATGCATGCGTCAGTTGATGCTAGACAAACATAGAAAACCTGGAAGCACTTGACGGTTATTTCGTCCCGGTATGAGACTAAAATCCCCACAAAACCACTTCTGATAAATCTTATTAGTTTATAAAGGAAAATCTGCCAAGCTGATTGGTCATTCTTAAACACAAATTAAATAAACATTTTGATATATATAAAAATAATAGATTTGCAATATCATAATCTATTGTTTGTTATAGAAAATGAATCAATGGCATTTCGATCAAATACAATGGCAACGAAAGCTGTAGAATGTTATGTAAAATTTGTCGGTTCATCTGTAAGTTCAGTGTTGTATTGCAATAGTCTGCTCTTTTCTGTACCATGTTATATATATATATATATATCGATAGTTTGGGGGATATTAGCGTTTTATAGGCATTAGTTAGATGTTAATTCTAAGTGTACAATTAATTAATGGGGGTGATTTTATTGCTCAAGTGTTTTTGAATTAGCTGGGGGTGCTTTCTCACATTGCCAATCCATACCAATTCATAAAGTGACTTTCAATGTAACATATCAGCCATTTACACAAACATTTGTAGAGTGCTTTGTTAACTACTAGGTGTATAGTTGTAAGATGTGTTCCATTAAAAGCATATGATTAAGCTTAAGGGTTACATCTTGAGTGATAGGAACTGAAGGAAGAGGTTGATTACGAATACAGTGGTTTTGAGTGCTGTTAGAGGTATGAAGGCGGTTATCACTTCCCGGTTGCCCACACAGTGGGAGGGTTCTTCTGGAGGTACCTTTAAAGGAAATTTGGTTACTGCTGTAACACCTCTGTACAGTCAGCAGTACGGCTTCGCCTTCGAACATTGGGTTTGTTGCTTTCAGTCTTACCATTCTTCAACTGACCTATCTGGCATGGTAGGACCTTGTGTAACGGTTGTTCCAGATAGTATAGCTCGGGTGCTTCATCACGATAGGCAAGCCCGACCACCACATCAAAGGTAACAAAAATGGCTGCAAAACGTGGCCATTAAGAGTAGAAGATATTCGTAAGCTACTAGTATTTGACCACAGATGCCTTAGACATATTGCCTGCATCTACTGGGATCATCAGGTAAGTAATACTGAGGTTAGACGCAGAGTATTAGGGAATGATGGTAAATCGATTGATGAGATTGTGAATCTTCATCGACTGAGATTGTTGAGTCACGTGTTGCCTATGCCTGAACATCGATTACCACGACGCGTGATCCTGATTAGTGTTGGGGATGGTTGAAAGAAAGTTAGAGGCGGCCAAACCAAAACGTGGCATCAGTCCTTGAAGTCACTAACTTCTGGTCTGAGCCATGTTGGTAGATGCAGACTACTTGGTTGGGGTCCACGTGACTATCGTAACTAATGGTTGGAGATTCTTGGTGACATGGCTCAGAACCGATCACAATGGCGTCGGTGTATACACTCTCTGTCTTCCCTTAAACTATGAGATTAAAATTATTTCATATCATTCTTTCCACGAACTAATTCTTTCTTTCTGTATTATATCTTTACATAAAATCTTCCCTTTATATATTACACCACTGAGTTAAATGTTTCTATGAATCCGGTGTTTGTCTTGCTGTTCTAATGATGTGCGGCAACTTGGACCGATGAATGTATGTGCTTGGTCCTACGTTGTAACTAACTGACTGAAGTAAAGGCTACAAGGCTACATGCCCCTTTACAAATTGCCAGTGGGTTAATAAATCCGGAATCGTTCAAGTTGTCCTTGCTTCTTTTATTAAGTGGTAATTTTAAATAAACGTTTATACTGAAATGTGTTGTACATATTGGGAAATCATTACAAATTGTTCTGTTAAAGACACGGACACCTTAATAAAATGCACATGGTGTCAACAGAATAAATAACTGGATCCGTTTCTTTATGTTGAATTAGTTGAGTTATCTTAATATCTTATTCTTATGATTTGGTTGCATATTTGCTTAATAACATCTGGTACTGATGTTTTCTGTGAAGATTATCGATTCATTATTTTTAGATATACGGTATATTTTAATGAATTAGAAATAATATCTCAGCTGAAAGGGAATGTGTGGTCAAAATTCATATCAATACTTAAGGATGTAGGTATTAATAAAGCTAACATATAACGAAATTGATAGAGGAACTTTCTCCAATCCTTGTGTTTTAGTGTCCATGACCATTTGATATTTGGTTCAAAAGTCAGTTTTCGAAGTGATTCGTTTTTCTACAAATCTATTTACTCAACCTGTAGTGTTTTATCATATGAATCTATAGTTTGATTCTTGACTTCCCTCATTAGTATAAATGAACGCTGTACTTAATAGGGAAACCTAGATCCATGTTTTAAGGTTATCCGCTAATCCTTATTACTTATTTTATGTAGCTGTAAGTGAGCTTACAAATTTTCCTTTAAGGTTTTACCTCATTTTTTGTGACATTAATTCCATATTTTCAATGCTGGATGATATATTCGATAGTTCCTGGAATAAGAAGGGGAACTGAATATAATAAAATATAAATTATTCCCAATCAGAAAATAATTATAGTAATAAAAGTGAATATTATTTTTAATCATCAAACTAATAAATATCTAGACTTTTGTTAAAAAATAATTCATTCTATATACATTATGGAATGTGGCTAGCAGTGGGACAAAAGATGTACTTGCCGTCCTGTTTGGTACTCTTAGACTGCATTTACCTGTACCTCAGAGTTTATGTTCACTCCGAGACTTGAACTCAATACCTTTTGGTTCAAATATTATCGCGCTATCCACGTTAGCCACTCACTTTTGCAACGAGTATGCGTTTTGACTGTATTCGAAATGTAAGCAATGATGGATAGTGGCTAGCAGTGGAATCCAGGACGCGCGTTTCGTCCTGGGTGGGGCTCATCAGCTGGATGTACCTACATCTCAGAGTTGATGTTTACTCTGCGACTTGAACCCAGTACCATTCGCTTCAAACGCCATCGCGTTATCCACTCAGCTAGCGAGTCCCCATAACCACTTGCTTGTGCAATGGGATGAATTTAAATTCACTTGGTATTCTTTGGATTGTATCTTCCCATTGAGGTTTAAGACTGCAATTGATCAGTTTGCTATTGGCATCTATCATTTCTTACAAGAAGTTTGTGAATTAAGGCAATATCGAGGCATACGTACAGTATGCACATATGCCAATAACAGACTGATCAATTGCAGTCTTAAACCCCAATGGGAAGATACAATCCAAACAATACCAAGTGAATTTGTATTCGAAATAGTTTGAATTATCCCGTTGTTGTTATTTTTGACTGAAATTTGACCAATCTTGATTGGCATATGTACATCCTGTGAGAATTGTCTTAATATAGCCAATGAGATAAGTTGATTCTATTTTGTATCGAGGTGATGCGTACAAGATGTACATATACCAACCAAGGCTGATCAAATATAAGTCAGATATCGATAATGGGATAATCCGAACCAATTCAAATTCAATTATGTTTTATTCAGTTAGTACAATCGAACATTTTCTATTTAGTTGTTGACCAATTACCTAGTAGCAAGTATTCTTTGGGTAAAAGGTCGAAGTAATATTTAAAGGTCAGAATTGCGAACAAAGGTCATCTAAACAATAAAATTTCATTCCATTCGGTACACGTATTCAGACGAGATTGGTTGTGATACACATGAAATCTAGGTGTAATTGTCTATTACAATATATTCTACTAAGAAAGAGACAGGGCAGAAGAGGAAGAAGCTGAAATAGGAATATCAATATTTAGGCAACAAATCCCAATAAATAGTTAGCAAATTATCCATAGAAATAGTAGGACTATATAAAAAAGATATTAGGAAAGATAACTGTGATTCCTACTGTACTCAGTCTTTTTTCGCTTCCAAACTGGAGGTGACATCCAATCAACCGCCGGATACAATAGCAGTATTTAGTTTATACCAAAACCTTTATTTGACATTTTGCGTGAAGAATTACATTCCTACAAGCATTAGCATAAGAAACCCTTTGTTGAGACATTCAAAGCTTGAAAAGCGATCAGTTGTCCTAGGATAATTCAGAGATTGTTGTTGAACAACCCTGAAACTACTAGAACTTGAAACAGCTCACAGATATCGGGATATAGCAAATGTAGCAGATCCACACCATTTAAAAAGGATTACAGTTTGTGTAGGGACGTACAAATCAGGAAAGAATACAAAAATAAATAAAACGATTATCAGTAGTAAACAACAGTTATTTACAATTACAATATTAAAGCCAGATGCACTAAAAAAACAACCGAGCAGTCTATGTTGGCAGATTATTCTCCAGATCTGGGGGTTGTGCGACTGTCCAATCACTTCACTGAATAAAGCAGACACAGTAAATAACCAATTACACTTGAGTAACTACGGATGAAACAGGGATGGAATCATCCTCAAAGAGCTAGTTTAAATTTTCTCAAATGAATTCTAAAAATCTGTTAACTGAATTTTCATTCAAGAGATTTAAAATATTGATACTATTCTGGAAATGATGCCTAGTTATTTTTGTGATTTGCATAATATGATATGTCTTTTTCATGCCTTTTTATCACATACAAGTTGTTGATAAATACAAGTTATTTCCAAGCTTCTTTTGTATTAAATAATAGGAATCAATATAAACTTCTGATCAGTCATATCGTATTTGTCTCACAACACTTATTAAGACTTTTATATGACAACGTCTGTAATCATTTTGTTTTTTAATTGAAATACGATAGTATCTCTTGGGAAAACTTGTCTATATTCTCAAACTGTATTAAAACCATGGGACTGCATCTCCTTACGATGCTCCACTGCCTTGTGGGTTAGACCTTTAGGTCAAAGGCTTGGGGTGTGGCCCCCTAAGATAACCACCTGCTTCGGTCTGGGCACCCAGGCAGTAACGCAGCCCACACGCAATTAATGAACTGAAATTGTGTGGCGCATATATGTTTGGCGCACTCCTGTACCAATATATATGTGTTCAAATAAAATAAAATACATCAGGTTCTAGAATTATAAATCCAGATTAATAATCCATAAAATTGGCCAGCCTTAAAGCAGAGTACATCATTTGGAAATTGTAATATGTGAATCAGGAATTGTTTGTTATATAAATAAAATTGTTAATGTTGGGGCTGACTAATATGAAGCGTTAACTTGAATCAGTTTATAAGCGAAATGAAATCGTGAGATAAATTATCAGAATAAATATGGTCAACATGGAGTAAGAGAGAGAGAGAATATTGTGATTACAAATCGGAAATTACGTAATATGTAAAATAATTAGTTCAAATATAGTAGATTCAGGGGTGGATATTGAATAAATTCCTCAAAAAGGGTTATCAAATGTAAAGACAATAATAATAATATCGGTAATAATAATAATAATAAGTTTGGGACATAAAATGAACATTAATCAGATTACGTCACCACATTATAAGATTGATTATTAGCTAGTTGGCCAGGGTAAAAGGAGTGGCTGAACATACTTCTTTTGGATACAGAGCTCTGGCTTTTTGATCCGAATAGCGGCCTGCTTGAATATCTGGGCTACCTGTTTCTGCCATCTGATTATTTCAACAAGTTATCTGTTTTTCATTTGTTTTAATTTATAATTATGTCCATTAATCGCATAACCTATTCAGGCGCTTTTATGAAAAGCCTACGACCTTCCGCTGCACAAGTTACGAAAAAGTACTATAAAAGGCATCGTGGTGGTTGGCAATATGCGTTAAAGAGAATGAACATTAATCATATGTCAATTCCCGAGCTACTAAATTCTAACTGCCGATCACTAATCAACAAAGTGGACTATCTGCAATTCTTACTTAGTCAAAATACGTATCGTAATTGTGGTGTCATCACAGTTCAAGAATCTTGGTTGAATGATTTACAGGATGACTGCCTTGTATCACTACATGATTTCAAAATTTATCGTCAGGATCGATCGAACAATAAAAAAAGGTGTGGTGGCGGTGTAGCTACGTTTGTAAACATAAACTGGTGTCGATCTTCGTTTGTGTGTTTTAAGTTTTCAAACGACTTTATCGACTGTCTAACTCTAAGATGTCGTCCAAAACATCTGAATAAATACAAATATGTTTATGTGACCAATATCTACGTGACTCCAGATTGCACATCATCTGCACTATCTGTTTTCGCTGATGAATTCACTGAGTTCGCTGTTACTGCCTTCAGTGATTCACTTTCAGTTGTATGTGGTGATTTCAATTCATGTGACTGTAGCTTCCTTACGTCACTAGGTCACCAAAATGTAGTAGATTTTCCTACCCGTCTGAATGCTCATCTAGACTTCGTCTTCATTAATGATGTGGGTATATATGCCACTCGTAAACGTGCTCCATTGTCTAGCTCAGATCACTGTATAATTCGTGTTCTACCTAAAGTATATGGAAAGCATGGGAAGAATACACTCCTACGTCAAACCAGAAAAGTCAAATATAGGAATTACACAGAAGAAAATATCCGAAATCTGAAAAACATGTTTCATACGACTAACTGGGAATTATTTACAGATGACTCACTCGAAAACACTACTGATGTTATCACTTGTTACCTTAAATTCTGTTTTGATATTTGTTGTCCCACTGAAACCATTTTTGTAAGTTTTGATCGACTTACATCTTCACAACTAAAACGACTACGAAGGATGAAAGAAAGCATGTACAAGGAGAAGAACTCTAATGAAGTTCGTAAGCTAAATGGTCTGATAAACCTAGAGATTAGACGTCTTAACTGTATGTTTACTCAAAAGCTCTTATCTTGCAAAAACTCTCCAAGTATGTGGAAATTCTTTAAAGAACTTACAGGTGACAGACAGTTTAGAATCGATAACCAGCTGAATGTTTGTGACTTAAATAAGTCTTTTGTACGTCAGTCATCTGATGTGATGCTCCCTCTATCCACGGGTTTAAAAAATAGCTGTGTTCCTACTTTCACTGAAACTGATGTACGAGGATGTCTCCAGTCGCTTAATTCATCTCGATGTTTGGGACCTGATGGTATCCCAAACATCCTTTTTAAAAAATATGCTGACGTTCTGTGTCATCCGTTCACAACTATATTTAACAGATCCTTCTCATCTAATCTCATACCGAAAATGTGGAGAAAGATGAAGATAATTCCTGTACCCAAGAAAGCATTTGGTGATAAGAATGTAAAATTTAGACCTATTGCAATAACTTCACCCTTCCTCAAAACCATGGAAAAATTATTAATTCTTCCACTTCGGCCTGCGATAAAAGAGCATACTGACCCATACCAGTTTGCATACAGGCGCAAAAGAAGCACTTTAGATGCTGTTGCAGTTCTGCATCACAGCATAGTGTTCAACTTCGAAAAGGGTAAGAAGTATGTTCGATGTGCATTTCTGGACTATACTTCAGCTTTTGACTCTATACCAAGAAAACGTTTAATTAACAAGTTAATCAGCGTCAACACTGACAGCTGGATAACCAACTGGCTATGTTCCTACCTCTCTGGAAGGGAACAATACACTGTGTTTGGAGGAAAGAGTTCAGAGTCTCTACTGTCTCATGAAGGTGTACCACAAGGAGCTGTTCTTTCACCTCTTCCATTCTCTTTTTTTCTGCATGACCTGCCATCTTCCACAGAAAACAGTTTTTTGAAATATGCGGATGATCTTACTGTATGTATGTCTATCTCTTCCTCTTTACATCCCATAGAAATGAATGAGTTTTTGTCTCGTATTGATTGTTGGTCTGTTGGTAATGGTCTTATACTTAATCCGTCTAAATGTCAAGCTGTTAACTTTAGCATGAGATATGAACGGAATATAAACACTATTTTGAGATCCCATAGTGCTTGTACCATCGGAGACTCTTTGATAAACTCAGTGTCGAAGGTCAATTATCTTGGTGTCACTTTTTCCTCTGATCTGTCTTGGTCTTCCCACGTTTTATCGTTATCGAAGAAGGTTTTCCGTCTGACCTATTACATAAAGAGATTGCATGCTCTTGGAATTACTCGTCATTTACTCTCACAATTTGTCAATTCTTGCATACTACCTATTATTCTTTACTGTTCTCCATTATTCTTTCCCGGGCTTTTGAGAAAAGACTTTGCTGTATTGCGAAGAATGCTGAAGGCAGTTAGCAAGGTGTGTGGTGAATCTTTCGAGGTCATAATTAATATGGTTGTGGATAGACATTTAAAATCATGCAAACTCCTGGCAGGTGTCATTTTATCAGATACTAGCCATCCCCTTCACTCTTATCTTTCTCCTTGTATATCTTCTGGTAGAACGAGACGTAATTACATTAAAATCCATGCACGCAAGGAAAAGTACAAATGTTCTATAATACCTTATCTAGCAAATATACTCTGGGACGAACAGGTTGTTAGAGTTAATCTAGCCAATAACCTGCATTCTTAACATGACTTTTATTTTAAATGTTGTACTGTTTTTCAGAAATTTTTTTTTAAACTTTTTTTTTGTCTTTGTTACTATTTTTGTTTGCATAAGTAACTTGTTGAAATACCCTGTGCTGAGAATTCTATATTGTACCAAAACATAATATTGAATAAAGCCATTAATAATAATAATAATAATAATTGCTTCAGCTGTCTGTAGGATTTGCAGTCTGACGGAATTAGGTAGACTGCTGTTGACACGATAGATTATTGCAAAAGATTGCTCCATGCTTGCTATTTAGTCTTACTGTTTGCAGTTCTGAATGGAAAGCACTTTGTGGTTATTATTTGATTTGATTAGGAATTCCACAACTGTATTAAATCCATACTTTATTTTGGCAACAACTGTTCTCTATTTTAATGATAAATCCACATTGACATGATATCCTAGTTGAAAGAATAAGGATTTGATTACAGAGCATTTATTATTATTCTGAACAAGTTCTTCAACACTAGCTTCATATAAATGTGGGTGAGTGATGAAGATTTTTTCCATAATGAAAGTGATAGGTGCAAAAATAAACTATCTTGCTCAGAGGACCCTTAAAAAACTAAATTCTCTCTTTCAATTTGTTTTTATTAAATCTTTTTCAGTATCTTCATCATTTATTTCACTTGTTAATACAACGTGTACTAACATGTTTTACGCCTTGGGAAGTTGATCCAGAAAAACTATCTTCAACTCAATGTACTGGTGGTTCACTGAATGCAACTGATACTGCTGCATATGCTTTATCACCCGGAAATATGTTAAAAAACCATCGATCAATAATAACTGGCACTTTAATTGGCAATCAAATAATGCTGTTAAGATATTTTGATGTTGTTTGGCGAGCTATTCAATCCAGTTTGAATTATTTCCCAAGGTAATAATCATTTGTATTGAGTAATTTTTTTTGGTTTTACTGTCTACACTCAATTTAGTACCTAGACTCGTTGTCTGTTCATCAGATTTAGATAGATATTACTGTGACTGAACTCATGTACAAATTCTGAAATACTGACGCACTTAAAGATCATTTGAACTATACAGATTTACTTTAGTTTCATTGGGGAAGAAATTTCATATATGTTTCACTGTATAACAGATACCACGAGGATGTGTTATGCTAGTAAACGTACTTCATTAAACTTATTTAATTACGTAAATGCTAACAAACAATTGTCATTTACAGTGATGACGACTATTGGTACTCACTTTCTATTTGACTGTTACCATTTCTACTCAGTTTTGTCGGATATACTGTAGAATGTGACAATTTGATTAAATCCCGTCAAAATGTGACCTTTGTACTATACCAGAATTAAAGCAGAATTTTTATGAGCGAATTCACTAGTCAATTGAAGCTAGACCACCATGGAAAAACTGGAAGTACTGGAATTGATTGGCATTTCCGACAATATCATTTTCAGTCTTAATATTCTTTAGAATGTGTCCTGCACTTTCAGAAAACTACAATGACTGGAGTGAAACTTTATAAACAAAGTGTTTTCTTTAGTCACAAACATAAAACCTTTCTATTAGTCTCTTCTTTTAAATCAGAGACAGTTGTTGGTGGTCTTACTTTCTTTCTTTCGAATATCTTAAAATTGATGACGATCTGATCATGGCTATTGAAAGATATAATCTATTCATTGAGTTTTTCTATCATTTGCTTAATTATACTGGTAAGAAAATTTGCCATCATATAAAACACTGTAGTTTTGTAGTAGTTATCGGATGTATGTTTTTAAAAGCTGGTAACGTCAAGAATCTATCAGATTAGTGCAAATACATCGTAGAGGTTAACCCTTGCTATAACAATAGAACTTCGTCGCATCGTTGAAGAAGAATTCTTCGTGATTCAGCAAAGAGTTTTTCTTTAGACGTTATCATTTACTGAAGCTATGTAATCATATTTATAGTTAATTTTAAAAAAATGGTAGTTTACAGTTAACAAATGAGGGGTAGTGTGTCATTTTACAAGTGTTGTATCATAAATTGTCCATAGAAAACCAAGTACCCCAAGAACATACAACCAAGTGTTCAGATAACTATTCCTATACAAGAACTGAGGCCTCTGAGTTTTTCTAAATGTTAGTTCAGTTGATAAGATATGAGCAATTTTCCCTGATATGTGCATTTAATTGGAAGAAGACTATGTTATGGTTGTATTGAATTGTATTCAGGCAATTTCTCATCAAGTTGTACCATAATAAATCCATAATTACTGTTACTCGTGTGTTAATGAGTTAATTAAACTGCTAAATTTTGTGAACTTTTGCACCAGTTAAGGTTTAAATACAATAAAAGGTCATTTAATAGAAAGGTTAGGAAAATTTATTGTGTGGTATCGAGTAACAATCAATTAACTACAATAAATTATGTGAATATAATATATGGTAGGAGAAATACTGTCTGATTGAGATAACAATATTAATAATAATAGTTGTAGTGATATTAGCAATATCATCTTGTGAATACAAAACATAGCGAAATGTAATTCTATTAAAACTTGTATGATAATGTCCATATCGGGGTAAACTGGATAGAGCGCACATATACCAACTTATACTATTCAGAATTCAGTCAAAACTACCAAAAACGAGATAATCCAAAGCATAACAAATTAAATTGACATGTAATTAAGTTAATTAATTCATATGAACTGAGATAGACGAATGTATCAGTTAAGAATGAGACGAAAGAGATCAATGCAACATGAAATAGGATGAACAGTAAGGGTAATGATAATACGAACGTTCTACTGAATGACCGAAACATTCCCAATATTAGATGCATCTGAATGCTTAACAACTAGAGGGTCAACTGTAACCTTTAGATCATTAAAGCAACGTCAATATATCTTACTGACTACATATGGCTTACTCAAGCCGCCCGAAACTCATATTGCTTGATTGTATGACTTACCGAAGATTCACAAACCAGGGATACCATGACGACTTATTCTCAGTATATTAAACTCACCTTACTATTCAATAGCAAAGTGATTGGTTAAAATTACTAGCACCACTTCACCATGACTTTCCTAAATACAGTATAAAGAATGTATGTAATAGAGTTGCTGGATTTTTATTGTCATCTTAATTTGCGAACACAATTTTTGAACTAATAAATATATACTGTTATATTCTGGATATATTTTCTTTCTTACCCAAATCATTCTGTTAAGTGTTAATTATTAATATTATTTAAAGAGAAGACAAAACAATAATAAGTCATTGGGTTGTTTAAAATGTTTATTGTAACAGTGAATGAACAAACACAATCACTGATGTTTATTTGTGTATCTAACTGTTTTACATTGTTATATGTGTTGTGGAGTCCTATGTTTGAGTGTGTACGTGTATCACCTGAATGTTATTGATTAAAACTTCTTATGTATAATCTGATTATCGGCTGTACATACTTTCTAGCTTTGATTTATATATTCCTTTGTTTATCAGTCATGTTGTGCATTGTTCTCTCCCATTTTTATACATTCCATCTTTCTCTATACCTTGACTGACTTGTTACCATAACGATAGTAATAAACTTTGAAATAGAAGCGACTAAAAAAGTCGCCATGCAATCGGAATTTCAATCGAATTTTTAGAGTAGATAAGAGGATGCTGATTTAGGACAAATTAATATATGTTTACTCAATATTTCAAATGATAACACATCATAGTGATGCATTCATCAGATAACTACCAATACGCTAACGACTAGACGTTTTGATTAGTAGAACAGATATAATATACGCATTAAATCGATTGAAACGAGCATTTACAGATCAAGTGTAACATAGACAGACATACAAATCAGTACAGAACTTTAGGCAGTACATAACCGATATAGTTTGGTATAGTATATAACAGATACAGATAGGAAATCATCCAAAACGAAGGAAATATATAAAAGTGAAAAAGGAGAATGAAATCAATAGATGCATGGAGATGGGTATACAATATTAGGAGGTTTGTGATTTAGAAGGTAAGAAATAAATTTTAGCGCGGCTCCGAAAATGAGTTGGTTTTTGTCTAGTTTCGTTAAAAATGTTGTTTTATTAAGCTTCAGATGGATTCTCATTAATAGGTGTTTGTTTGTTATTAGCTCACAAGGTTTAGTCAAAGTTCTATTACCTTCTTTGTCTGTACTTCGACGAATCACGGTCAAGAAGCAAGCAAAGGTGAACTCTGTCTTCAAATGGAGTGCCTTAATCAATGATACTAGATAATTTGTTGTGCTAGCTGCGAGACTCAGTTGCACAGATAGCATACTGGGGCAACGAAGATATTTGAATTAATTATATCAATTCATATTCTTAAAAACGATTATTATTGTATGATCTCTTCACTCAAGTTACACAAACTAAGCGTTAAGTATACCTTGACGATCGCTCTATCAAACGTAATCATTTTTATATTACAAACAGAACAATAAAATAATTAATAAGGTATCTTTGTGTTCATTTAGTGATTTAGTAATTTTTCACTTGGATGTGTAAAGAAGAGTATTTATGTTAGCAATTTATTGAAATCTCTACTGTTATAACAATATAAGAAATTGTGATTAATAGTTTTATTTTATCCATCGACTTCATGTCTTTCCAATAAAGTTATACTTGCACCTAGAAAATGTAATTAGTTAGAAAATAAAGTAGACTTCAGTTAAGTATTTAAAACATCAACATACCTTGATGAAGGTATTCATTTATTTTATGTTTTCTCTTGTCTCCCAAGAACATTTTGTACATAAATAGTGAATAGCTGACATATTATTCATGACAAATTTAATATTTAACATAAATTGATAGCTATTTACAAGCTCACATACTACAACCGCTTTACGTATATATGCATCTTTAATAGTTAAAATTATAGAGAGATATTTAACTAATTATTCAAACTTATGTGAATTAAATCACTGATTGCTCTTAGCTAGACCGTTATTGAAAGTTTGAAAGCACTGGATGGCCGTGTCGTCTCAATATGAGACTCTTAAGCAGTAAGTATATACGATACTTCATACGCCAATCGAACCCAGAAATTTCAGTCTGGCATCGGGATTTCAATGGTGTAGTAGCTAATATCAGTTCGTGTTTTAAACTATGCAGTTCTATGGCCTACACAAATATCTCTATATGAATGAAGTAGATTGTGTAAAGGTTAAATTTGATAACAAACAAGTGGATGATATTAAAGTGTGAATCACTATTTCATTGAATAACGATGTATGATGTGTGATTGATTAGAAGCTTTATTCAACGTATTATGTAGTTATATACTTTCGAACCTTTTGCTTGTTTGTTTTGATTGCATAATCTTATTTTAAATTACTGTTTGACTATTTTTACAGTGTACTCATTCGCTTATTCAGTTCATTTCGTGAAGCATTAGAAACAATTCGTGGATCAGAATTTTGTGATAATTTAATATCTGGTTGTATATTTTTACGACTGATCTGTCCAGCTTTACTTTCACCTTCCTTGTTTGGTTTAATCAGTGCATTTCCTAGTGAACCAGCATGTCAACGTAACCTCACACTGCTAGCTAAATCATTGCAATCATTAGCTAATTTTAGTACATTCGATGATAAAGTAAGTTGTTTTCGTTATCATTATTTTATTTGATGAAATGTCTTGACTGAATACGTTTTATACTGAGAAAACATTTTTCGATATTATTAATTTATTTATTGATATTGGAGGTGGTTGTGCAACGTCGTGGATTAACAACGTTGGATGCCGGCTCATCGGTCTAGATGTCAAGCGTTCACGTGCGAGTCCTTGGTTTGATCCCTGCTTGTGGAGTCATGAATGCACAATGCTGAGAATTTCCATACTGAGACGGAATGGACATCCAGTGCTTCCAGGTTTTTAATGGTGGTCCAAGATTGGTTCGTGATTTCAATGAAATCCACTAATCTCAACGACAGTTTCTTTTCATTAATTCAAATTAGATATCGATGATTTTCAGTTAAATAATAAAAGCATATTCTACATTATTTTCTTTTACAAGCATTTACCCTAACTACTAATCAAAGACGTATCCATCTACTACTGATAGTGAGCATTCATTTTGTAAAGATGTTCCACTCCATTTAAAAAAATCAAAATAGATACTTTCCTTGAAAAATTATGGTAAATTTTCTGAACTAGTACATGAAATTTGTTACTGATAAGTGTAACTGATTTCCCACATTTCGTTGTGAATCGTTACACTATACAGTCAATTTACCTGCTGTGATTGTACTAAAGAATATTTATCATTTGATTATATATATATTCTATTCTGACTGTTATATATTTCCAATAATGTAGATGTGTATATACCAATAACTGAAACCTTATTTATGCTTATATATAAGTGTGTGTACGTGTATAAAATCCGTGGTTCATCTTTATTCGTTAATTACTTATTTGACAGAACATTTGGTATATAATATGAATACTTAACGTGTCTATAGTATAAATCTTGATCTTGATTCTTTTACAACTAGGAGAAATATCTCTTGGTATTGTCTTCAATTTTTTTCTTTTAAAGCACTGTCATTCCAAAATAAATGACTTTCATACTATGGATTTAAATAAATAATATAATAAAGTGAAAAACTATTTAAAAAGAAGTTATTACCACATATAAACGACAATTTCGTGCTGATTTGAAACTCCCTAGTATAGCGTACACGCATAACATTACAGAATATAATGGTTGAAGACTGCTAAATAGGTCCCAAACTTATGGAGGAAGAAAACAGTATATTTTTGTTATATGTGAAAATTACATTTAAAATAGTCTGAGCGAGTGAAAATTAAATAATTCCAACGTTTCGTCCAGATAACTTGTCTGGACCTCTTCAGGGTAATAGTCAAAATTAAAATAATCTTTGATGATTTTCACGTACAATGACTTCTCTATACTCGGCGCCCGATTTCTGTCAAACTATTCGTTCTAATCTTGACGAATATTCGTATAAAGTATATTTTCATGTTTATTTAGTTTTAAAATGACCTTCAACTGATGTTATTCTCTGATATAGTTTGAAAATCTACATACAAGATTTTCATCATACATACTTATTCTCCAATAGATGGAAACTTTAATGGAATCATACAAGCATGCTGTATATTTAGATTTTATTCCTTATAATCCATATTAAGCCAATATTTATTTAAATCATACTGCTGTCATATTCAGATATTACTTTCTGTCACGTGAAACGTTGACTTAGTGGCTAAGCCGATCGACTAGATTATAATTTCTAGTCTCCTACATTCCATTTCTCTTTAGACATTCAAGTAGTATCGTAGTAAACGAGAATGTATTTGAATACAAAATTACAAAACATCTTAGTGAAATCTGAGAACCTTACAGTAGATACTTCATTTGCAAAATGTCAATCAATCGTCTAAGACTTCATTGTTTTTTTTCGTTTCTACAACAATTATTCTCTGTTCTCTTTCTCTTTTCTTCGATTTCCTTAACTTTTTGCCTCTAGGCATTTCACATCCAATTGATGATGCATACTACTTATATCTATCGACATCAGAAGCACATACCACAGTATCAGTGGTCCTCAGACATTATTTATGGTGCGAGCATGTATCCTGTTAAATAAGTTACAAACAAAACTTGTTGAAATAATGTATTCATAACTGAGATTTTTCTTGATATATAAGTTTTACTGAAAAATAATTACTTGGTTAACATTAGAAAGGTATTTATTTATGTCAAAACAAATACAATACTAAGATTTCAGTTAAAGGAAATGGTCTGACGCAATAATAATAACATTCAAAATAAGGAATGAATATTAAAATCTACTTTGATAATCTTATCGTTTTGGGTAATTCTAATATCTTATCGACAAATTTATTGTTGTTTTTCCCTGAAGTGTTTGAATTTCTGATTAATAATTTAGTTACTTCAAGTCAATATTTAGTTTGAGAACTTCAGGTACATTTCATGAACTAATTAATTATTAACTGTTGCGTTATATGAATAATAAACATTATAGAATGAAATAAACAGATTGAATAATTCATATGAACTACCGAATTCATCTTTACAATACTTGAAGACCAGAACAGTTGTTTTGTTTTAGTATTGGGCCCCTTAGCAACGTTCACTCACAACTTTAAATTGATTTATTGACTCGTTAAACCCTATTGATTGGTATGTCAGTTTAATATTCTAAACTCTTTTTGTGAAAGTGCCTAGTGCTCATGCCGTTTCGTAGATGATATCTGTCGAACTCTTGATATGTTTGATGCTAGTCAGTTAAGTCTTTTCATTTATATGTTGAAAGTAATTCTTACACTTGGTTACTAGTGAACAAATGATTATTGTCGGGAAATGGTGTTTATAGATATTACTCAATAGTGAAGATAGTTCATATCTATTTTTAGTCGGTCCTGAGTGAGTACTCCTGGGGTTTGTTGCTCATTAGTTTTATATCTGTCTAGTTCAAGTCACTCATTGATGCAAGTTGTCTCCGAAATTAAAATAATTCTTCCACTTCACATGTTTTTTGGGTTGATTCTATCATGAATTTTTTTATGATATCCCAATTAGTAGAAAATAGTATTTGTGACGTCTTATGGCTTAATGTAATCCACTTGTTCAGAATAAATAAATCTTTTGATCATTACATTACATTAAGTCACCCAGTGTCAAAAATACATTTTTCTACTCATTGAGATATTACAAAAAATGTATTCATTATTAACTTTCTACCCAATGGTTAATTTGTTCAAAACTATCAAGTTCAACTTTGGGCATTGATACATACAATCTTCCTTAAACTTGAATGACTGCTAAAAGTACTCTTAATTATTTGTTCCAATGAAAATAACTGTTTTATACATCCTTCTTGAAGATCTCCATGTTATGCATAAAATTAGTATGTTTATGAAAAAACCTAAAAGTTACAACATTTGGGACTACATTTCTCCACAGTATTTATTACTTTTACTCTACTATGGAAATTGTTTTCTATCTTTGTATAAGTTTTATTCCGACCAATAATTTATGCACAATGTTTATCTAAAACTTTATTAATTAAAATTAATTAAACAAAATGAATCACACTCTTGTGTATGTATTCAAAGAGGTTAAATGCTGGAAATTTGTAGATTATCCTGGTTGAAATCATTCTTTATATCTGTCCACTTATAAAAAGAATTAATGCAAGTCATATTTTAAATTCGATTTCTGTTTCTCCTTCTTATACTTTTTATACTGGTTTTCTTTATAAAGAAAATTTTTCATGTTATCATCTGTCATAGTTGTTTAGTGTAACAATTGAAAGTGATAATAAACAGAGGAGGTTGTGGTTATCTGTCAAGTTTTCAGTGTTCAATTAGTGTGTTATGTACAGCTTTTTCAGTCTTTTTTTCGATTGTTTAGTGGATAGGTTCCTCACATTACAATATAATATTCATTCTAGATTTTGTTCCAAGAGTATGAAGTTAGTTACAACTGTTCACTATGGATATGTCAGTGTAGTTGACTAAAACCTGTAGTATGATAAACACAAATACGTTGAAAGTTATCGCAAGAAATGAAATCTAAAAAAAGAGTATGCTCTATTATGGAGCATTCACCCACTTATTCAGTGAAAAAAAGATCGAAGTTGTTGTATGAAATACGTCACTTACACATTGAAACTACGTTGAACTTAGAAAAGAACGAGTCATTTCAAGTATCTTGAATGAAGATAAGTAGAATGTATTTTTTTCTATTGTAAGCGAAGATAGATGGTGGCTAGTAGTGGAATCCAGGAAATGTGTCTCGTCCTACTTGAGACTCATCAGCTGGATGTACATGCATCCTGTTTTTTCTATTGTTTACTAATTACTTTTTCTCTTCATATTTTTTTATTCATTTTTATAGGAACCTTATATGAGATTTTTAAACGGTTATGTTTCTTATCAGTTATCATTGATGCGAATGTTTATTCGATCAATATCACCATCTTCACTGAACTCACATAACAATGATATGATTCATAATGTTGTTACCGGTTCTGTGACAGTTGACAATGAAATGTTATTATCATCGCCAACAAACAGTTCACATCAGGCAAAAAGATCAACCTTAGTAAAAACACAAAATAATGTCAAAGATACAATTGATGAGAATTGTGAATTGGCCAATCTTCATCTTATATTATCAGATGTGATGTTTTCTGATTCAACAATATCTGCTACAAGTAATGATGATACTTTACTAACGGGAACTGTTAATACCACTACTACTAGTACTACTAGTGCTATTACAAATACTGTACTGTTTGGTAATAACAATAATCTGATAACAGTCAATCCTACTTGTGATACAAATTTTTTATCAAATTCTACAACAATGCTTGGAAAGAGTGCTACCACTTTCCTTGTAAGTTAAATTACTTTCACTCAACGGTGACTTTATTTTATTGAATATAGTTATATTTTATATAAGACAGTGAAAATATCTAGTCAAATGGCTCAAACATTATTGTCCGCATTGTTTCAAGAGTCCTAAGTTATTTTGCATCATTTAGAAGATGTATTTATTGATTGATTGAAAATTCATTTTTAAGTAACATATGGAATCGTCTCGTTTGTCGTTTATTTAATAATTCACTGTTATTACAATGCATAATCGTTTGAATCATTCTGTTATTGTTGGTGCTGGTCGTTGCATAACTAACAAATTTTAGTGACCAGAATGTATCATATATACATATAACTAAAAATTTAATGCGAATTTTAGATAACTGTAAGTAATTCATTGTAATTAGTGTATAGTATACTTGGTTTATTCCAAATGCTACAGCTTAAGGTATATTTTACTCTTTAGGTGACAATCACGGATGCTATGTAAAGACGGCGATCTATAAATTAAGCATATGTGTGGATAGTTACTGGATTCGATTTTAGTACTTCCTACATAATGCAAATGCTTACAATGTTTAAAAATACTTCATGTTATTACGCATATAGAATAGTTCTTAAGAGTATTCTGTATCAGCCACTTTCCTCCCAATAAAAAGTGATCAACTTAGATAATTATATCATAAGATAATGGTCATTTGCTTCAATTAGTACTGTATATCTGGTTACAGTAAATAATTTTCTACTTGAGATTGTGGTGTGTGCTACTTATATCAACATAAGTAGTATATGACGTTAGTCGAGAACAGAATGTCTGGGAGCAGAGAAACAAAGGGATTGAACAGTAAAGAATGGAAACAGAATGCAATTTGTATGAAAATGTAAGAACAATGAAGTCTGAGTCATTTTGAGACAATTGATGGACATTTTGCAAATTAAGCATTTACTATATGGTTGTTAGATTTTATTAACAACTCCTGCAATTTTGTGTCAAAAACTCCGCCTGGAGTCCCTCCGGGGGCTACTGCCGGTCCCAAGCCCGGATAAAGCTGGAGGGTTGGGCATGGGATGAGCGACCCCATCCCGTAGAAAACTAACTCGCTAAAACAACGCTAACCAGAAAAAAATTATCCAAGTCTTTTAAACTCTGCCCCGGGAGTCAGGTCTTCATTTAGAAGAGTTATGACACCTCATGATGAAAGCCGAGTTCCTTCGGAAGTCACGAGGCCGATGCCCCTTCTGACAACCAGAGCAACCATTTATTTAGGTACATGGAATGGTCGTACAATGTGGGACACCGGGAGAGCCTTCCAAATTGCTGCAGAAATGAGGAGATATAACCTAGAGGTGCTTGGGATCAGTGAAACACATTGGACGCAAGTTGGACAACAACGACTAACTTCAGGAGAACTCCTGTAATACTCCGGCCATGAAGAAGAAAATGCTCCACATACACAAGGAGTTGCATTGATGCTGTCCAAACAAGCGCAAAATGCGCTTATAGGATGGGAATCTCATGGGCCAAGGATCATCAAAGCTACCTTCAAAACAAAGAAAGAGGGCATTTCAATGAACATCATCCAATGCTATGCGCCTACCAACGATTACAATGAAGACGCTAAAGATCAATTTTACAGTAGGCTGCAGTCAATCGTTGAGAAGTGCCCAACAAAGGACCTGACTATTCTGATGGGAGATTACAACGCCAAGGTTGGAGTGGACAACACTGGATATGAAGACGTCATGGGACGACACGGACTGGGAGAAAGAAACGAAAATGGTGAGAGATTTGCAAACCTATGTGCCTTCAATAAACTGGTCATAGGCGGCACCATATTCCCACATAAACGCATACACAAAACCACATGGACTTCACCGGATCACACTACACAAAACCAAATTGACCATATCTGCATCAACAAAAAGTTCAGGAGGACGATGAAGGACGTGAGAACCAAGAGAGGAGCTGATATAGCATCAGATCATCACTTGCTGGTCGCCAAGATGAAATTGAAACTCAAGAAGCACTGGACAACGGGGCGGACAATATCACAAAAGTTCAATACGGCCTTTCTTCAGGACACTGACAAACTCAACAAATTCAAGATAGTCCTCAGCAACAAGTTCCAGGCCTTTCATGATCTACTCAATGGAGAAGGAACTACTGTGGAGAGGAACTGGAAGGGGATCAAAGAGGCAATCACTTCACCATGTCATGAGGTCCTGGGCCACAAGAAGCACCATCACAAGGAATGGATCACTGTTGATACACTGGATAAGATTCAAGAAAGGAGGAACAAGAAAGCAGCAACCAATACCAGCCGAACAAGAGCAGAAAAAGCCAAGGCACAAGCTGAACACACGGAAGTAAACAAGCAGGTGAGGAGGAACATGAGAACTGACAAACGTAAATATGTGGAACATCTAGCAACGACGGCGGAAAAGGCTGCAAGAGCAGGAAACATGAGAGAACTGTATGACACGACAAAGAAACTCTCTGGAAATCGCCGCAAACCAGAACTACCAGTGAAAAGCAAGGAAGGCGAGGTAATCACCAACATTGAAGAACAACGAAACAGGTGGGTAGAGCACATCGAAGAACTCTTAAATCGACAAGCCCCACTGAACCCACCCAACATCGAAGCAGCAGTCGCGGACCTGCCAATCAGTGTTGGCCCACCAACAATTGAAGAAATCAGCATGGCCATCTGGCAAATCGAGAGTGGCAAAGCAGCAGGACCAGACAACATTCCAGCAGAGGCACTAAAACCAGACGTAGCGGCAACTGCAAGGATACTCCACATTCTCTTCAATAAGATTTGGGACGAGGAACAAGTACCAACAGACTGGAAAGTAGGACTTCTGATCAAAATACCGAAGAAAGGCGATCTCAGCAAGTGTGATAGCTACAGGGGCATCACTCTTCTCTCAATACCTGGAAAAGTCTTCAACAGGGTATTGTTAAACAGGATGAAAGACTGCGTAGGCGCCCAACTTCGTGACGAACAGGCAGGATTCCGTAAGGATAGGTCGTGTACAGACCAAATTGCAACTCTACGGATCATTGTGGAACAATCAATTGAATGGAATTCATCACTCTACATTAACTTCATTGACTACGAAAAGGCATTTGATAGCGTGGACAGAACAACACTATGGAAACTTCTTAGACACTACGGCGTGCCTCAGAAGATAGTCAATAACATACAGAACTCATATGATGGATTACGCTGCAAAATTGTGCATGGAGGACAGGTCACAGACTCGTTCGAAGTGAAGACCGGTGTTAGGCAAGGTTGCCTACTCTCACTTTTTCTCTTTCTCCTGGTGATCGACTGGATCATGAAGACGTCAACTTCTGAAGGGAAGCGCGGGATGCAATGGACATCTAGGATGCAGTTGGACGATCTAGACTTCGCAGACGATCTGGCCCTTCTATCCGAAACGCAACAACAGATGCAGGAGAAGACGAACAGTGTGGCAGCAGCCTCAGCAGCAATAGGTCTCAATATACACAAAGAGGAAAGCAAGATTCTCCGATACAACACAGCATGCACCAATCCAATCACAATTGACGGAGAAGAATTGGAAGATGTCTAAACCTTTACGTATTTGGGCAGCATCCTCGACGAACAGGGTGGATCTGATGCAGATGTGAAGGCGCGGATCGGCAAAGCAAGAGCAGCATATTTACAACTGAGGAACATCTGGAGCTCAAAGCAACTGTCAACCAACACCAAGGTCAGGATTTTCAATACAAATGTCGAGATAGTTCTACTGTATGGGGCAGAAACCTGGAGCACTACGAAAGCCATCATCCAGAAGATACAGGTGTTTATTAACAGTTGTCTACGCAAAATACTTCGGATCCGTTGGCCAGACACTATTAGCAACAACCTACTATGGGAAAGAACAAACCAGATCCCAGCGGAGGAATAAATCAGGAAGAAGCGCTGGAAGTGGATAGTACACACATTGAGGAAAGCACCCAACTGCGTCACAAGACAAGCCCTCACATGGAATCCTCAAGGCCAAAGGAGAAGAGGAAGACCATAGAACACATTACGCCTGGAAATGGAAACAGACATGAGAATAATGAACAAGAATTGGATGGAACTAGAAAAGAAGGCCCAGGACAGAGTGTGTTGGAGAATGCTGGTCGGCGGCCTATGCTCCATTAAGAGTAACAGGCGTAAGTAAGTAAGTAAGTAAGTACATTCGATTGTCCCCACTCGTGTTCCTGTTCACTAAAAGCTGAGCAATATTCTTACAATAATTCACTATAATATTTGTATTGTTTGTAGTTATTCGTAAAATCTATTTCAATAGTATTTAATTGCTAATCGCCTTCAACACTTTTGACCACTTCCACACTGGATGAATGGTAATACATTCTCCTTTACTCTTTTCAAAGAAGATATGTTAACTGCAATGATGTTTCTGCTTTTGTCATCATGATAAGTTGTTTTTTTTAACAGAAGTAAACAAGTACAGTTTTTGATTTACATAGATTATTGATTCATTAAGAAAAAAATTATTCGTAACACTAGTTGTGTTGTGTGAAAATAAGAGGCACAAATGTTTGAGCAATTTTTAATACCTTTATTGTTGAATGAAATATTCTTCTTATTAGAGCATTTTGTAAATTAATATTTACTTTTCAACTTTCTTTCTCGTTTTGTCTTTTTTTAGAAAACTCTCAATTCTACTGTTATGGCCAGTTTACCAAATAAATTATGCACACTTCCAAAAATACTAGATGATATTTCACGTGCATTACAATGTAGTTCATTAACAAGGTGTTTAAATTATGATAAAAGTGTATATTCTGTAAATAATAATGATACTAATCATAACAGTAACCATTATAATAGTAATAATACAAATAATCTTTTAAATTCCACTTCTACTAATCGATGTCAACAGTCCAACTTTTTAATCTCTTCATCAAATAATATTAAAAATAATGTTGACATTACTGATGTTCATAGCAGTGAACAATCAATCAATTCAATTTATGCTCATCATACAAATTCACAAATGACTACACCATATTATACATTACATTATAATCCAGGTTTTCATAATCCATTATTAATGGATAATCATAAGAATTCAAATGGATTATTAATACCGCAATTGAAACAGTCACCATCATTAACTGGTCTACCATCGGATATATCGAGACCAAATCCAAATGATTATGATGAACCATATATAAGTAATGATGAAAGTGATCATGGAATAAATGATGCTGTTAATATTAATCGTTTGGATGATGAAATAATCGACAAGAATAAAATGAAAGATAAAAATAATGACTATGTAAGTGTTATATTGTTGACAAAATCAAACCATATTTTAAAGTTTATCTTGATTGATCAATTCTGCGTTATGTTTAAATTTATTTGTTTAAATTCACCGTTACTTTAATAGATTGGAGGAAAGTTAAAACTGGTTAAATCAAGAAACGACAGTAATTTCTGAAGTCATCGATTAGTGGTTAGAGCCATGTTGGTGTTTAGATGATGTCATCATTGGTTAGAGAATTTAAGTGGCATTACTAAACGTTGGTTTTGGTGGCACAGTCATGTTGATTATATGTCCTCCTGTAGTTCATGAATTAATTATCATTTTTAAATCTTTCTTCAGTTCCGTTTTCTTTCTTTTTGAATTGTGTCTCTCTCAAATTTTCATGTCTGTTACAGTTAAAATGAATGGGTAGGCATAAGTTTAAGTCAAACGATTTTACAAGACATCGATGGTGATTGCATATACGCCGTAGTAGAAATAGATAATACATACATGAACACCATATAGGTGGAATGAATGAATCTTTAAATGCGTTTCATCATGGAAGATACTACATATCTATCATATAAAGTACTTGAGACAGCTTAAGCACTCTAATCGGACCGAATTTTTGCCATTTATTAACATAGGTTTCACGGTATAATCATAATCTGTGATAAGATGTTTTTAATGAGGTTGATCTAAGGTGATCATAGTGATCCAGATTTGATCGTCCTTAACTTATCTCTGAACTCCTAAATGTAATATTATCCCATAATTTCATTCCCTTTTTTTAAAACTATGTTCTCCATTTTCATTTTCCACTACTATTATTATTCAGCTTGTTTATTGCTTATCGTGCTGCTAGTTAGTATAAAGCGAGGGGTTTTAATTCTTATTTTGTAGTTGCCTAAATACGTACACAATAAGTACCTACGAGACGCTTATCATTACGCTGAATAACACTACAAAACAAAGATATCTGTAATAATAAGCCTGTTTATTAGAAAAAAAGCAATGATGTTTTTTCTCCTATAAGCAACAACTTAAGATAAATTATGCTGTTGATAATGAGAATTTGTAAATTCCAGTTATTACCATTATGAGGATTTGTGAAGATCGTAGTATTGTAACAGTTGAATTCCCGAGACAATCTAAGCTAGATCACCATTAAAAACCTGGAAGCACTGTTGGTCTAGCATAGATTGACTCGTGAATTTAACTGCTACAATTTCAGTTATCACTTGAACGTGATTTAGAGGTTTAACTTATAAGAATGACTACAGTTTTATGGATAGATATTTTTGAAAAAAAGAATGCCAAACAAGTGTACTACTTTATGATATTCTAGTACCTTTTTACATCCACTAACCTAGTAACTAAATGGAGTAATTCAAATAGGAATACTTGAATACCATTCTGAAAATATAAAGAAATATTTACATGAAATGATACCATAACGACTAAACAATCATATTAAAGATAGATGCAATTGGATTTTTGCATGAAATTTCAAATGCGTAACTGAAAGCTGATATCTTATAGTTTGTTTGCATGTATTTGTGTAGTAATATTTAATACCTATTCATCATCATCATGGAAAGCTACCCTGTAATCGAATATTGAAACTGTACAACTGACACTTGAATATTCAGGCTGTTTAATTGTTATAAATATATAAACTCTTGTTAATGTGGACTAAAATGACCAAGTACAGCTTACTGAAATATCTATTCCGGTGTTGACTAAGTCTGAAAACGAGAATTTATGTTTTCATTTAATCTGTTCCTTGTTAATTTATGAAAATGTAAATTTGGATTTAATTATCGGATAGGTGTCTCTCAATTTAATATGTAAGTCGTGTTTGCATACCGCTGATGGATCCCAAAGTAGAAATAAATATCTGTCGGTCGATTAATACATAATTTTGAATTACTCTCAAGTGAAGACTCAAAGTGTGATGTAAATAATTACCGATTATATCAAACTGTTTAACTGATGAATTTACCATTTGTTTCAGTCTTTTCAACATCAATCGTCATTATCAGTTACTAAAATTATGGAACTGGAAAAGTGTAACTATTCAGAGAGTCAGATGAAATATGAACAGAAATCAATCAGTTTAGACAAATTAAATGATTTAGATAATGAACATATCTATGATACTGTACCATTTTCATCCTCATCTTCTCGATCGTCATCATCATCATTGACAAAAATATCGTCTAAGAGTCAGTTAAGTAATTTCAATCAGTCAACATTGAATAATTATGATCACGTAAGTTTAATTCTTCATCAAATGAAGAAAACATATAACAAAATTTCATTAATCTTAAACTGAACTACAGTTTATAATTCTGATTGAGCATCTAAGGCTGACTACGTAATATGTACTGAACATTGATTAAAATTTATGCCGATTAGTTAATTTTATGTTATCAAATTAACAGTATGAATTTAATAGGAGGCGTTTAATTAGGATTTAGTTTTTTATAGAGAATTTTATCTGATTTTCGAAAATCGAAAAGTTTAAAGCATATTTTCATAATGAATAGGGAGGAAGATCCAGGAATTTGTCTATAGAGAACTAATCTACACCACTTATCAACAGAAAAGTTATTTTGTTTGAATTTGGCATTACATATGTCATCGATTAATTTATATGTGCTGATATGATGTTGGATAGTTTATTATAGTCCACACTCATTGGATTAGATATCAGGAATTAGCATTTTCAAAAAAAATTGACCATTTTATTTTGTTCATTATACAACATTCTGGTTGATGTCTGGAAATAGCTCATTAATTAAACATTATTCTTTGCTTTTGTTTGGGATATCAATACAAACATACAGAATATAACTGAAGTGGTAATAAATACATTAAAAGTATAGTATAAGAAGCTTAAAAAAGAGATATCTTTAGTTATACAATGCATCTGAGTAATTTTAAACAAAATGTTTAATGATTTCTTATGACACCATGATAATATTAGGTTGATTTTGGATGGTAACCGTGATACTGTCATTTCGAAACCGAAAGTTGTGGGCTCGATCTTTTATTGCGAGGTCGTGGATGCACACTGCTGAGGAATTGTACAATGGAATGAAGCAACCATCTAGTTCTTCAAAGTTTTTAATTGTGATCGTTTCATGATTTCAATCAAGCTCATGATATTTTCGTGTTACTGTTCCATGCAAAAGTGTAATGGTTTAATACTTATTTACTTACTTACGCCTGTTACTCTTAATGGAGCATAGGCCGCCGACCAGCATTCTCCAACACACTCTGTCCTGAGCCATCCTTCCAAGTTCTATTCAATTCTTGTTCATTTTTCTCATGTCTGTCTCCATTTCTCGGCATACTGTGTTTTTTGATCTTCCTCTCCTCTTCCTTTGGCCTTGAGGATTCCATGTGACGGCTTGTCTTGTGACGCAGTTGGGTGCTTACCTCAATGTGTGTACTATCCACTTCCAGCGCTTCTTCCTGATTTATTCCTCCGCTGGGATCTGGTTTGTTCTCTCCCACAGTACGTTGTTGCTAATAGTGTCCGGCCAACGGATCTGAAGTATTTTGCGTAGACAACTGTTAATAAACACCTGTATCTTCTGGATGATGGCTTTCGTAGTTCTCCAAGTTTCTGCCCCATACACTAGAAATGTCTTGACATTCGTATTGAAAATCCTGACCTTGGTGTTGGTTGACAGTTGTTTTAAGTTCCAGATGTTCTTCAGGCGTAAATATGCTGCTCTTGCTTTACCGATCCGCGCCTTCACATCTGCATCAGATTCACCGTGTTCATTAACGATGCTGCTCAGATATGTAAAAGTTTATACATCTTCCAATTCTTCTCCGTCAATTGTGATTGGGTTGGTGCATGCTGTGTTGTATCGGAGAATCTTGCTTTCCTCTTTGTGTATATTGAGACCTATTGCTGCTTAGGCTGCTGCTACACTGGTCGTCGTAATGCTTTAATGACACATAATAAATGTTATAATAAAATTTTATTACTATTAATTTGACCATTAACAGGTTTCGGATATTTTGAACATTTGATAATATAACTGACATGTAGCTAAGAATACTTATGGTCATTATTTTGGAAAAAACGTGTCACCAAATTTAAATAGTAACCAATGTTATGATAATGTTTGGTTATAATCCTATAATCTGAAATTATATGTGTGATTAATTCTATACATGAATGATGTCTGATAAATATGTAAATATACATTATTAATATGTTAAAATCTTCCATTAAAATTAATTTCAAAATGCATCACCCCTTAGTTATTACATTTCTGTATCATTTTCTAACGGTAATTAACAAAATAAAACTTGGTGCATGAATGTATATTTGTATAATTGTTAAGTAGCTAAACTATGCATATTCATGTTCTTATTATAAGCTTTATTTTTACCTATAAACTATTATTATACGATTTACCGTCCTTGAGTTCTACCCAGTCTATTAATTTCAGTCTCCCACATTCACAGCCTGTTTTGGCTAGATCTTGGTAAAATGTTATTTTCTATTTTATTGTACGATGTGGTCTGTTTGGTTTGTATGTAAACCCAGTATGTTTCAAATACATGATTCATATCGCACAGGCTGAGATTGATGTCCTGGAATTAGCAGGCCGGGGTAAGCAGGAAGAAGGACCGATAAAGACTCTAGACTGCTCATACAGGTTTATGCGTTATTGGTCCGGTCGATAAATCACTGTTCTCGAATTGGCAGTATCACTACATTATAGATTAATAGGGCATAAGATCACAAGTTATAAAACTACCAATACTATTTATTTCTAGCTGCAATAAGTATAGTAGCGCAAATACTACTATACTTAATTGTTGATTAGCTTCATTTGAGTTATGTATAAATGTGTACATTCTTGTTATGAATAGTGTAATTTGTATAATCTCGTTAGACTTCATTAACATAGAGGACAAATGCTAAAATTCGTATGCGTGTTTAATTCATTTCGATGTTTAAATTTATAAGTGAAGATTGATCAGTGGGTAATCGTTTATATGATTCTATTTTCTGAGTTTGGACATTTAAGTAGTGTTCCTTGTTTCAGTATTTCTAGAATTGCATAAAATTTTATTTGACATATTAAATAGTCAACTTTCTATAAATTCACGTTTACTTCTATTGATTGTTAGTAGTACCGATATTAAGGTTATATCATTCTATCTCACTTTTATAATCATTTGATCCTTACTGGATACTAGTTAATTTGTTTTCTGTCTACATTGTAACATTTAATTTCGTTAACTTTTTTTCATACTAAGAAAATATCGTTCGTTTAGTCAGATGGATTATTGATTTTTGTAACCTTTTCATGTTATATAGTTCGATTGAAAATTGTATGGTATTTCAAAACAGCAGTATTGGTCATAGTAGTAGTTGTGTATGTAGAAGAAATATTTCATTTATCTTTCTCAGAAATGTCAGATTGATTAAGGAAATATTGTGATGATAATTATTACCTATCGACGTTTTCTTTTCAGAATTTTGTTTGTGATGTTTGATATGAAGAGGCATATGTATGTATGTATACATATATAGCCTACTGGACTACTGAGCTAGTATCCAGTTGTGTTAATGTCTAACATCGACCAATCCACGAAATTGCACGAACATTTCTCATTGTACTGAGATAGATACCTGTCTCTACCTGACACGGATTAGCTCTACTGGTCATGGCTTCTCACTAGAACTCTAATGGTGGTCTAACATCATTCAATTCGTAATCTCAATCAACAAGTAATTTAATGGTTGAATTCATGAGCCAGTTGATGCTAGACCACCACGGAAAACCTGGAAGCACTGGACAGTCGTCTCGTCCTAGTATTAAATTAAAATTGAAGGGATAAAAAAACATCATATCATATGACAAATATTTAAACACAAAATATAAATTCACTTTATTCTGTTAGATTTTTGTCAGCTCTTTGCGGGTAGTAATACTTTATATTTAAAATTACAAATTGGATCGTAAATGAATAAAAGCATTTGCTAATTGCATAAACACTTAAGTATAGCCACTTACGTTTTTAACAGCGTTATTAAGTATATTTTTACTTTGTCTCATATGTATTCACATATTTGTCATGATTTCTTGATGTGTAACTAATTCCAATAAAATTCATTTATGTTAATATTTTTTAATCCACAATGTACCTTTTAATTCTTAAATTTTACATGTTGTAAGTAACTTACGAGAACCTGTGTATTTCCAGAAAATTTCTGAATAATTGATTATTTGATTATTCAGTTTGAATACATGTGCACCATTATGAAAGACCATGGATTATTTTCATTTAAACTTATATGTGCAAACAGATCAGTTGAATATGTATACAATCATGTGAAGATTGAGCGTTCACAAGATACACAGTATGAGACCGATCACCAGTAAGATCATCGATGCATATTTCCGAGGGACCTAATATTGGGACAGAACAGCTATTGAATGCTTTATGGTTACCGTTCGTTTGTCTACCTTAGGCCTTTCTGTGATATCGATAACATTCAGTGATCTCCACAAAATCATACATTGACGAGTCAGTAAAAGTCTTGATGTCTTTTTTCACTGAGTGTTGTACCAGAACAGATACAAGGTCAATTTATTAAACTAAGGCAACAAGAAAACTATTTGGTTATGTTCAAACATTCAGGATAATTATGTTCGATTTTCAATGAATACCTAATGTATCTTTTTTTTCTAAAATTTTTACTTCCCAGGTATTTTGCCTGCTCTCTTAAATGACAAAATAATCAGTTAACTTTGTCACTTTTTCGCTGACTAACTAAACGTTTTGATACTAATAACAAAAATCAAAATTTATAATCAACATTTTTACGAAGTGAATAATGTCAACCCTAAAAACAAGCGGTTACTTATAAGTCCTCTGAGGTAATTTAAAATAATATAAAACATAAGTGTGATGAAGTCTCAAATTCTCTTTCACAGTTTTACATGTTTTTTTTTTCGAACCATATTTTCTTTCCTTAGATCACTACTACTACTATTATTATTGTTTTCATTTTGTCATATTTACTTATCATCTTCTTTAGTTGCAATAAATGGGTCAACTGTGGCAATTTGATCTGATGCAAATATTCTTACTAGGACTTCCTATTTAATGCCTAATTGAACTACAATCAACTAACCGTTATGTAAGGCACGTTCACATCTTGGTTTCTTCTATAATTATTTGATTAAAAGGCTAGTATATTTATAGCTTGGCGATTAGATGAATCTAGTGCTTTTGAAAATAAAAACTGAATGTAAACATTATCCGATATTATTGCAACCATTAAAAAAAATGTTTTCACTTTTATGATGATTTTAAATTTTGTTTTTGATTAAACCAATTTTTTAGACACTACACAGTGATACATTGGACGTCACTAAACTTCAGTCAGATAAAATGAATCTACTGAATGTCAGTGATCAATCAATCATAAAACCAAATTCATACAAATCTATGTCATTAACAAATAATAGACTGACATCCTCTGAAATTGTTCCAACAAATGAAACTGAAAATAATTCAAGTACAAATTCTCTGCACAATAATAATAATAATATTAATAGTATTTCACCAAGATTATTTCCGAGACAAGTTACAACAGCAAATATGATATTAACTAAACCAAGTATTATGTGTTCATCTAGTGATTCAACAAAAATATCTAAAGTTCAAAGACAATTTCGATCAAACAATAACGTAAGTTATACATTTTCGTATATAAAGCAAATATTTGTTACTTTTGTAAATATGACTAGGTCCCTATGCAGTTAAATTATTCAATATTCATTTATTGCAATATGCAGAATCTAGCTCAATTTTTTATCTCATATAGCAACTAGTTAATATTAATGAATTTTGCATAAAGTATGGCATAATATGAAGTGTGGAAACTTGTACCTTGCTTCATGAATTTGGTCAGCTAGTCAGTCGTAATGTGGAACCTGGTAAGTGTGTACATAAGTTCAATTTTAACACCCCATTAGTACAACTAGATAAAATTCCTGGGGCAAATCCGAGAGCAGTAGAAGTAACAACAGTATTAGTGGTAAACTTTTTAAAGATGTTAGTTAAATTGTCAGTCATAAGGTCACGTACTAACCAACAATGACATTCAGAGTAAATACAGAAAAACACAAGAACAACAAAATACACAAACAGGCCTTCGGAACAAATCGACATAACACTTATGGAATAATTGAAAACTTCACTTCTAAATGAAGCAAGCGCCAAAGATATTGTCAAAAATAACAGTGAAAGCTCGGCACTCAGACCTAGCTCAGAGAACAAAACATCTTCAAAAGTATTCACCTGAGTTTCAAACCTATATCACTTAAATACATACTCGGATATATACACATACAGTTGGATGCATGTTCAGTGATCTAGGGGTTGTGCGTCCACATGCGGGACCGAAGGTCTTGTGTCCGAGTCCTGTGTGCGGAATCGTGGATGCGCACTGCCGAGTAGTCCCATACTAGGATGGAACAACCATACAGTGCTTCCAGGTTCCCAATGTTTTTTAAGCTTAGATCGACTCGTGAACTGGACTTTTTATTTGATTGATGCCTTCACAAAAATAAAATTATTGATAAAAATCCATCATACGAATAACAATGTTTTGACTTCTTTTGTCCGTATTTCCTCAACAACATTTCATTAATCTAGTAAATTGTAGTATCTTCTTTGTATTTTAACTCTACTACTTAATATGTTTTTCTTGTCTAATCCTTTCCAATTTTCTAATACATGTCTGAATATTTTAGTGTTAGAAATAAAGACTAAACCAATGAAATATATATTTCAACCAAACAAAATAAGTTTTCTAGTAGTTTATCGCGTGCCTCATTGTTTGAACCCACTGAATACAGTCAAAAGTAACCAATAGGTTCTAGGAAACGGCTGGTTGCATTTAGAGGATACCTTCACCTAGACTACCAGCACTGCCTAAAACTATATTTTTAAACATATATACTGTTGAAATATAATGAATGAACTGAAATACATATAATCAGCTTGTTCGTTAATTGATAGAAAACTGCTGATTGCGATAAAGTAAAAATTTTTTGCAATAAATTATGAAAGAATATAATTACCCAGTTTTACAATCGTTTTAATTACATCTATTGCACTGAAAGACATAATCTTTAAACCAAGTAAACTTTATTATATCTTCCTTTTGTGATTCATTTCATTATGATGGATATTTGGTAAATCAATTTTGAATTTCAGTTCTCTATATTACTGTTTTATTTATTATTGGATTGGATTGAACAGTATCGTTAAATAGTTTTAAATAGTACATAGAATGTTTGAAAAATATGCAAGAATTCGTTAATACGTCTGGAGAGTATTCGAATCCTTTGTGTACCGTTTTATGGCTCTATATTTCACTTGTTTTATTGTGTGATGTTTATATTGACACTATAAAAATACAACAATGCAAATGAGTTCAATACTGTTTTTAATATACTTGAACCCTACATTAACTGCTTACTTTCATACATCTTATTAATAATGTGGTTAATTTGTTAATTCGCTCAACAATGTTTTCTAGAAGCTGTGAAGTAAAATGTTCTACTTAACATTGGTTTTTACGTACAGTATTTATTATGAATGTGTATAAGGAATAATGACAATGGTTTAAGCATTCTCAGAAGTATCCATTTTTACCACTTGAAAGTACATACTATTGATGCAGTTCCATCAATCAAAAGTTCTTACTACTCTATGTCTTTATCAGTACAGTCATTACTGATTTGATCTTGTATAACAGTAAAACACATATTTTATTTGTTTATATTTCAAGAGCACAACGTGATAATTTAGTCTTACAATTCAAAGAGTCAATATCTATAAAATCTTAAGGAAATCATGTAATGTAGATTTTAAGGAATATAAGTAATGTATGTATATAGTAATGTATGTCCTATCCACTTTCAACATCTTTTCCTAATTTCCTCTTCAGCTGGAAGTTGGTTTGTTCTCTCCCACAGTATGTTGTTGATGATGGTATCCGACCAGTGGACATTGATTTTTTTATTAAATAATGAAAATAAATTAAGATCATTAGTCAATGATAAACTTTAAATTGTGAATATTATGTTAAATATTCGAACAGGTTTGTCATCAGATAAGCTGATCTACAAATACAATGTAACTAGATATAATATCTACGTTGATAGATAATATTTAAACACGATGAGTAAACTTTAATGTAAATAGAATTGTATATTAAAGACAAAATGATTTCATTCCGAGGACAGATCCTAAATTCGAATATGGATTTTCGTCAAAATCGGAACCAGCACTTTTACCAATGTCTTGCATCGTGCATCAAGATAATATTTCAATAACGCTGACTAATCAGTAAGGAATTGTGACTTATATATAATGTATGACTAGCCCTTAATGATTATGCAGTTGGAATACAGTTATTAGTTTGAGTGACTCGACATTATGTGCACTATGTTTTGATGTAAATTGGTTAGAGATAGACGTTAGGAAACATCAAATCTAGGTTTTGTGTTAGTCAGCATGACCTATGTGCAAACTTTTGGATACTGATACCCCCTCTGAGCTAAAAACTTAACTCACATTTTAGTGGCAAAAATCTCAATGACTGGGATGATGCAGTACCAAGATCTCAATTAATATTCCGCTCTGAGCTTTTATATCAAAATAATTAAAACAAATTAACGAAGATAGGTAAAGCCACAAAATCAAGTAAATAATAAACGCTTGTACAGCTGTATGTTTAGATATTCAGTTTGGTTTAGAATGTATTTGTTAATCACTTAGTGTAAAATGTCTTAAAATTATGGTTTACAAAGATATTGCTATTCTTATTTAAATCCAGATACTACTGTATTTCAGTTTATATATGAAATTAATAAGGTAAGGCCATTATCACTAGTAGAAATGAATATGTTATCTTTTTGAGCACACTTCATATAGAGTCATATCTACTTATTCTTAAAACATAAGGTTCAAAAGCTAACTATTCATTTATTTGGTATCGACTAAACGAATTGGTATCTAAGACGCATCCTAATTCATATCTCGGTAGGTAATAACAATGACATCTAAATTTATACTGCTAAAATAATAACTGAGTATGATAAAATCTTCATGTCATTAGCGAAAATATTCTTTCAATAAAGATAGTTGACTAAGTTTAAACAGAAAAAACTTTTTTTAGTTCGTGCTGAGGATTCTGAAGGTGTGGTGTTGTCTGAACTGGATGGTGTCGTTGTAATTAACCGCGGCGTTACTATATACTGTTCACAAGTAAACTTTTCTGCTCAAAAGTAACAACACTTGAAAAATAATAGGAACTATCAAACTAAAGTTTAGTATTTATTATGTAATGTGACCATAATACACATCTGACTTTATTACTTGCACACATTTAATGCTATAAACTATTTACTTTAAATTAATTGTTTAATTACTCACTCAAATTTTGGTTTCTTAATTGATTTCAGTCGAATAACACGATCATCTTTCTCAATTCTACTAATAAGATAATCATTTTCTGTTCATTTACTTTTCTTCAACTGTCAACTATCTCATTGAATACTAACGTTTAATTCATAATTATTGTCGATAAATAGTTGAAGAGAAAAACAAAGTTCCCAATGATTATCAACTAACTTACCTGATTACTAACCTTTGTTTTTTTTCACTTACAGAGTCGTGAAAATATATTTGATAGGGATGTGGATAACGATCAATTCTTTTTCGGTACATCAACGAATACTGTTCCATCGAACTTGCCACAAAATTATCGTCATCATCATTTTCCAAGTAATTTATCAAATAATCATTCAAAGAACAATACATACACTTACAGTAAAAATATTTCATCTTCAGTCTCGACAGAAGAACTGCTTAGCCAATCAGATACCACTTCATACAATATGATTCAAATGGAAGAAGATAGTTCTAATTATTCATTAGCCAATAATACAAATAATACTACTAATGCCGCTGATACTTCTGCCGACAAGAATAGTAATATTAATAAACAACCGAAAGAATTATTCAGTGAAGTAGCTCGCCTACGTTATGAGTTATTGTTATCACGTCAAGATGCTTTACGAGCAGCTGATCGATTGAGTAAACAAGAAACTGAAATTTATCAACTTCGTCAATTATTAGACCAACTTATCAATAATAATAAAATCAATACTACCACTAATGGTAATAATAATCAATCCATCCATTTAAAAGTACCAAAATTAAATATTCATTCTGATTACTGTACAAATTTACAGGGAAATGAATTGAAATCCTATAGTGATAAACAGTTATATTCACGTAAGCAAGCAGTTCCGATTACTACTAATACTACTGGTGTTAACTGCTTACAGAATCCAACAAATAATAGTAACAATAACAATGATGCTAATGTTTTACAAACTGTAACTGCTACATTTAAAGAATTAGATGATGCTATGGCAAGGTTAGTTTACATAGTTTATTTATTATCCATCTATCAAACCATACCACTGCTACTACTATTCTTTATTAAATATATATTTTATCAGGATATCTTAGTGTATATTTGTTAGACTTGATGAAGGGACCATTTTTGTTATAAACTAACATCAGTAGAAGCTTCCAGTCTTACATCAAAAAAGATGTTTACCACTGAGTTGTTATCTGATAATCCATTCAAAGATTATTGGATTTTTGGTACAGCTTATTAACAATTGTTTGGAGTTTAAATGTTGACCAGTTAATCTTACTTCATGATCTGAAGATGTGATATTTTCAGTGAGTTTTGAAGGTTATCGGTCCTTCTTTGTGTAGAACAATTGGTATATATTGTCGATAGGTTGGTAGTTTACTTTATTTCTACTAAACAATAAATTTTGTCAGTGAGATATATGCTGTACAAATTTTATAAAAACGAATATAATTAGTTTATTCCAATAAACAAATCTTAACAAATCAGTTAATAGAATTCAACAGTAAAAGCTTCAGTCATAGAATCTATCGAGATTGTATATTCCAGTAAACATATAAATCTCAAAAACTGCAACAACATAGTTGCTTCAAGTCGATCTAATTAAAATGATACACATTATACTGATCAATCTGAAAATAATCTTGAGAACAAATTAAAAAATAAGTAGAAGATTTATAATATTCAGATGCATATGATTAATAGTAAATTCGTGTAGATCACAAGTTAGATTTCAGTGGTTTTCTGAATTATTAGTCTATAAAACTCTATCGTTCTATGAGATATCATCATAAGGTGTGTAGAACACCTCCACAAGTGACCAAACACATATACTATGGAAGAAGAATTGGACTATGATCAACCTTTGTGCTGTTATTTCTAATATTTTTATTTTTATTTACTTGTTTCCTAACCCTCAAAACATTTCTCTGAAGAAGTGACTTACACTAAGCTATGAAACGTCAGAAAATCTAATTTTTCTACTCATTGGGATATTACAAATATACTATTTATTTAGGACGTGTATAAGGTCCATTTCTGTTAACCTTCTGATTACCAAGTGACCTCGCCCGAATTCAGGTCCATATTTACTCAAATCCATCAACACAAGCAATGGTATATTGTGACGTCCTATAAGCCAATTTATTAATTCGGTGTTTTCCGCCATTTTGGCCTCCTATCTTATACTTTTACTGACTGACCTAGCACTCAAATGGAATTTATATTCATTTTCATGGATAGAAACGTACGTAGTATTAGACGAGTTGTACACATCCTTACTGTCGAATGATATTGATAAATAGGTAGGACTAAGAGGATAATCTATTTAGTTAGACGTACTTTCCAATAGTGGAATATTTCGAATACCCCGAAAGTTATCATCTTCCAGATCGAACTATCAGGTAAAATCAACAGAAAAATACTGAAGGAGTTCTTTAAGAGAACGAGAATTCTTTCTACTAAAATTCTAGCTTTCTTAAGCGCTAAAGTATCGGTAGCATATGCTTCTTATTCTGTAACAAATCTGTTCCATGATTCTACATTTACCTAGTCAGCTTTGTAATACTGCTACGTCTTCAAGCTTCAGTGATTCATAAACCAATAACTCATAAAGTCATCTAAGATGTTGTAAGACCAACCTAAGTGAATGTTCGAAATGCTCGTTGGCCTATTGTAGCAAACGAAATGCTTACTACAGCGGCTGTGTAGAAATAATTTGCAAAAGTATGTGGCAAATTAAAAGCCCCTATCTATTTCAAAGTTAAAAGTGGCAGGAGCAAATAAAAATGTCAACAATGAACACTACATTTAGAGATTATTACAAATAAATAAATGTCCAATGAACACAAACTAAATACTAATGAACTGTCTACAGCCTTAATGGAATGGAAGTACACTAATAAAATGGAGTAAGTAATACCGTTCCATATTAATATTTAAATTACATGTTAGAACAAAAGGTCATAATATGCTGAATGTTCAAAAATAATCGAAAACAACATCAGCTACTGAATGTTAGTAAGTAGTGTAGTTAACACAGAAAAGAAAGGAATTGGAATTGGATTATAAAGCTTAAGGAAGAATTAACCAGAGTTCATTATGTCTTCTTTTGCTTTTAGTCTTTTCTGATTGAATAATATGTGTTGAAATAATTTCGGCTACTACTAAGTAATATATATATATGTTCACGATTTGCTTTGACTGACTAATTTTGTGCGTTTTCCGCTCAATTCATTCAACAACTCTTACAAAATGGTCACAAACTATGGCAAACATAAATACTGATGAAATTCAAGTGAGATTACTTCGGCGATTAATATATTTTTCTCCTCATAAGTTCTCTAGACGGATACGAGGTTATTTCATTTGAATCACTCCATCGAACTTATTATAGAATGATAAAAGATGTGGTAAAAGTGAAATCAGTTTGGAAGTGAAGATGAATGTTATAAACAGCATAATTCCAAAATAGTTCCTCATAACTAGTTAATACCAGCAAATATGTTTATGAAAATCAATCGACTTAATGTCGTCTTTATTTGTCTATATAATAGTAAAATAAAATTGTTTTTATCTCATTGTCAGTCACTGATAATTTCTATTATATTCCTATCTCTCACTCTCTTAGACTTGAATTAGAACAAAGTGAACTGCTTCGTGAACAAGCTCGAATCCGTGCACGAATCGTTGCTGCACGTCCAAAACAGCTATCATCAAGTTGCAAACAATCTAATTCCAATTCTCTTTTATCTCGTTCAACCAAATCAGCTATTCATCCAAGACAATTTGATTCTTCTTTGTCAAAAATGCCAAATAATTTGGCAAACCATGGATTATCTAGTCCTAGTGATCAAATGAAGTATACAAATTCTCCTCGTTCAATTACCAATAACAATATTTATAATATAAATAATAATCATAACAAATTACAGCATGAAATTGTTGAGGGTATACCTAAGATTTCTTTTTCATCAACTCGAACATCTTCACCACATATTTAAAGAATAGAAAGCATTTATATATAATGTTTTGTCAGATGCTTCGTTTTGTTTTTTAAGGAACCCACCATGCATTTCAATGAGTCTCAACTATTATTACCATAAATAAAATGTCTCCATATGGTTATTAGTTGATTCTTAAAAACGAAATTGTCAATTGTTGCCAATTGTTAGTTTTGTTAACAATTTGCTGTCAAGTGTATTTAGTTTTAGAACTTCTTCATTACTTGTGAATTATTACAAAATTTCATATAATTTACAAGTAAATTATATGTAAATCAATGATGTATATTTCTGTATGTAGATAGAGGTGTTACCTTCGTTTTAACTTCATTTCTGTTCAATGAAGCACAAATTAAACTTCTCTTTTGATGTTCTACATTATTTTCTATCTAAAAAATAACAATGTTGATTTTATTCATCTTTCGGTGTTTTAAATCACAGATCTATAATGTTTTCCAATGACATCAAAAATTAATGTGATATGATTTCGTCAACTCTATATATGAATGTAAAGTTCAACTACTTATAAGTAGCAGTAAAAATTTGTGAAAAAAATATTTACAAAGAATTTAAGTAATATCTTATAGATATCGTTAGATTATGAATATTTAATTTTGAGAAAGTAAATTCTCTTAAATGTTTAAGCAAATTTTCAAGAAACATTGTAATGGTATTTTATGTGAATTCTTGTTATTTGTACTTTTCTGTAATGCAATAATACAAAAATAGAGAATCATGAAACTAACAGATTGTTTTAAATTGAAACATATCCACCGAATCATAAACCAAATTATATATAGATTTTTATTGTTTAAAAATATATGTGTTTTAAAGTACTTACATCTTTTACTCCTCATGGAGCATGGGCCGTCGACCAATAATCTCCAATATGCTCTGTCCTGGCTTCTTCTTTCCAGTTCTTTTCAAGTACTTGGAGAACTACGAAAGCCATGATCCAGAAAATACAAGAGTTCATTAACAGTTGTCAACGCAAAATACTTCGTGTCCGTTGGCCATACACCGTAGGAGAGAACAAATATGATTCCAACGGAGGAAGGAATCAGGAAGAAGCGCTGGAAGTGGATAGGACACAGCTGCATCACAAGGCAAGCCCTCACTTGAAATCCTCAAGGCCAGAGGAGGAGAGGAAGACTAAAGAGATCATTACGCCGATAAATGGAGAGAGACATGAGAAGAATGAACAAAAACTGGATGGAACTAGAAAAGAAGGCCCAGGATAGAGTGGGTTTGAGAATGCTGGTCGGTGGCCTATGCTCCACTGGGAGTCACAGGCGTGAGTAACTTTTCATTCTCTTGATGTCTACCTTCACTTCACGATGTAATGCATTCTTTCCTTTTCTTCTTTTGTTTTAGCCTTAGAGGTTTCAAGTTAGGGTTTGCTTTTGATAAATTTTGATGAGTTCCCAATGTGTGTCCATCTAGGACCCATATAGGGTTACTTCTGGTCCTAAGGTCGTATAAAAGATGATGGTTGGGTATAGAATTAGTAGCCACATCCTTTAGAAAAGAACCTTGCTAACAAACGTCCTCAAGAAATAAATATATACACGTGACAGGCTGCATATCTGTGAACAATGGAATGCTTGTCAGAATTTCATGAGTTGTGGTTTGAAATTCTTCTAAAGTTTTAATAACTAAAAATTTAATGTAAAAAAGAAATAATATACGAAATGTGAGCAATACATGATCATTCAAGTGAATTGGGCATCTGTAGTGTTGTGAATAGCCAAAGTTTCCATAATAAGCAGCTGGTTTAGGCATAAATCTCTCCATTTATTTGACGGGATTAGGTAAATGATGTCAAAGAATGAGATAGAAGCTCCACAAACTAGTTGGTCTATGCATAATGAAGCGATCAGTCGTGAAAAGTTGTATTTCACTCTGGGGCAATATACCTAATCTACACAAAGATTGAATCAAATATTTCAGACATATTGATTTAAAGTACAATATTCACATAGAAACTGTGATATAAGTTTTTGTGATGAAATAAAGAACTTTCCTTCAAGATCTTGTGATCAATTAGTATAGCTAATTTAGAAATAATTCCAACTGGGATTAATTCTAAACTCATTAGGTTATGCATTATTTGGTTAGTTAGGTAGAAGATTTCTAAGTAAAAGTATTTATAAATAAATTAATATCGGTATACAGATTTTATTAAATCTGTTGAATTTTAGGGTCTTATCTAAGCAGCTATTAAAAACCAAGAACTGGAAAGCTGTTTCTTCAAAGTTTCGTGGATGCTCACTGCTGAGCAGTCTCATGTTAGATCTAAATATCTGTCCAGATGTTCCTGGTTTTTGATAGCTATCCGATTCAGGTAGACTCGTAACGTAAACCATACATAGGTCTAAAGTAAGGTATAGGTATTCTTGTAATGAACGAGAAGTGGAAATGACAGATTTATTATTTCATAAAAAATTACAGAATGTCTTCGTAAAATCTGAGAACCATACATAAAATACTTCATTTGCAAATCTTCCATCAATCGTCTTTTACATTCTGTATGATTTTCACAATTCCTTTCTATTTCCTTTTCTGCTGCCAGCCACTCAACCTATGATTGGTGTTACATACTCTTTATGTCTGTTGACGTAATTAGCATATACCATATCCCTATTTAAACTCAAGCGAATTAAGTGTAGAATCATTTTATTTCAATTAGCTTTTAATTATGGATTCACCTGTTTTACAAGTGACAGTCATTTTAGCATTAATTAACCAGACAATGAATTAGTGAGAAGTACGTTAATTTGCAAATTATTAGCGAGTAGTAAATGATCATGTGAGTACTTCAATGATAAATATAGGTATAGTAATCTCAGTATTCCCAGGTGTAATTTATTAACGAAGTTTAAAAAATTTCTATACAAATGATTGATCACGTATTATCTTTATAGAAAACTGAAAGTTCTTGTTGAAATGTAGTGTTAACAATAATTAAGTGAGAATAAAAGGAGACCATCGATACAATTTAGAAAATGTTAACGACAAGTAAGTTGTAAATAGTTGTCAATCATAACAAACATCAGACTGACAAGGTACAGGTTATATTTATGACCAAGGTAGCGCGAGAAAGGTTATAAATAACACTTGAAATCAATGATTCTTCTTGATGACATGATTATTGATGTCTGCAAACGTACTCAATGAATGTAGACATAAAACTTGTAGTTAACTAAATTGCATAAAAAAAATCACATAAAGTGCTTCATATATTGTCAACTCAATGAGGTGTACCTACTAGGTTACAAGGTATGTATCTATTAAATACTATTAATTGTTTTTTGCTCGACTCACTTTTACTTTTAATTCTGAACATTTGAAGAGTGAAGATATTTTTAACTAAAGTTCAAAACCATTGATTCACATTTTTAACTATTTTACTAAAATAAGATATGAATGGCTGTTAGTTTAGGGCGGGGTGTCTGAAAATCCGCAAGAGTTAAGCTAATGAAATACGTTGGTTTCCTTACTGTTATGTACTTACGGCCTGCGAATATATCACGTGACTGATCGCCAATTCGAACATCGACTTTCTGACCAGACCAATGACGCATAAACCAGTACAAGCAGTCTAGATTCAATTCTGGGTTCTTATTGGTCCACCGAGATGGTACCTTCTTGTCTAACCCAGCCGGTTTAGTCCAAAACACCAATATCAACCTTCACTTTATGATTCGTGTATTTTAGACATACTTTTATTATTTACATAATTGTTAAAAGTAAAACATAAAGCAATAAAAAGTTTGTATTCACTATATGACTAAAAATCTACGTAAGTCAATTGTTGTGAGACTGATACTGTTGGTGAGAACAAGAATCTACTATTCTCTGAACCAGACTCTGAGCTTTCAGTCGACTATCACTAATCATTAAACATAACTTCGAAACATATATCATTGTTTCAATAATGAAACCTGTTATATTTTGATGCAAGTAGACTACCAATAAAATAACTATCAAAATAATTAATAGAAAATTATCAATAACTTAATTAAATTGAAGTGCACTTCGAAAAGTAACTATCACGGAAATGAAATCTGATAAGTATGGTAACTTGATCATGTGCTATGACTGATCCATTGTAGGTTTTGTAAAAGTATAAGATTTTGATATTCATCACATGATCATTTAATATATATATCTGCAATTATAGCACTTCGAGGTACGGTTTTAGACAATTTTATGCCAACTGTTACTTCGCGATCTCCCAAGTTACCTAAGATATATGAGGTCCATAATTTGCATCATTCAGTAAGAAAACAACAAAATGTAAATCGTCAACCACGTAAAAATCCCATAGTCAGATTAAAGAAGCCGAGAACTTTTGGACTTTATTTAGTAACAAAAAAAAATCAATACAATACTACAAGTTTCCAAATTAGTTTAAGCTATAAAGTATTATGTCGAAGTCCTAATCTCGCACTGAGGAATAACTATTCAACACATTGTGAATTATTACCAATTGACTATTTAAAACGCGATAATTCAGCAATACATCAAAAACTTCCACGTGAAATAACTACCGATCGAATGTGTGCGTTAATCTTGCCTAGTCCACATATGAAAAAATTAGAAAACAAAAATGTAATATTAAACCAGAAATCAAGAAAATTATTGAAAAAATCTCCAGAATTACAACTAATGAGTGATAAATATCGATTGGCAAAACTTCAAAGTAAAATACCCAAAACAAAACGATTCTTGGATCCCAAACTTTGTGATCGACTTATTTATAACAGTAGTCGATTGAAATTTTTTTATGATTCATTATACCAATGTAACCTTCCAGCAATTAAATTTGTACTGGAACGTGAACCTGGTTTGATTTTAGACGCTATTGAACCGAATACTGGTTATTCTACTCTATTAGTAGCTTTATTAATTAAATCTCCTGTGAGACGAGAAAAACTTATGAAATTGTTATTGAAATATTTAACCAAATATATAAATATGTACAATGATTGTATTAATGAAAATGAGATATGTGAACAGATTATTCAATTGAATGATCCAATTGAAGGACGTGATTGTATCGGTTGGACATGTATATTAGGTTTTGAAAATGAATTCAATTTATTAATTACACATTTATTAGCCAGTATTGATTTTCATAAATCTGACTTCTATGGTAATACATATTTACATTTAGCTATAATGGGTGGTTCTGTTAATATTGTAAATTGTTTATGTCAATTTATGCGAAAGTATTGTATTTCAATTGAGAATTGTATTAATTTTTCTGGTTTAAATCCAATTCAATTAGCCTATCGTTTACACTTCTATTCAATTTTAGATATTTTAAAACAATGAGTTTGATTAAAATGTCAATAATTTTGTTTGTAATGATCTCTTCTTTAATCTCATCTTAAGGAATTAGATTGATAAATTAAGGTTATAATTGATCTTCATCTAAATCGCTCAGTATGGGGTGATTATAAAAGAAAAGGAGTAAGTATTTTTGTAAAAATATTTTCATCTTTAATATTTTGGACTATCCCGTTGTTAATAATTTACTTAAGTTTTAGTCAATCTTGGTTGACATCTATGCATTATGCATAGATTGTTTCAATATAGCCATGATGTCACAAGTTTCTATAAAGTTCATAGAATGTGACTCTCAGTGGAATCCAAGACTCTTGTTTTGTCATTTTAATTTAATTTTGAACAATACATTCAGGTAAATCCAAATGACGTGTCCTTAATAAGATAAAAC